GATTAAAATACATTAAGCATATTGTCTAATTTTCTTATTATGCATAATCATCACATTTCATTGAATTAGGTACATATAGATGCTGGAGTAATCCACAAACATTTTAAATAAAATTCAATAATGTGGATCACATTGTTTTTATATTGTTCCTTTCAATTATCAGACAAATATTAGTTTTCTGTTTGAAAGACAAATATGGAACATCTCGTGAGTATTTTGACTCAGACCCAGACCTAGCAGTTGAGCAATAAACATCTTGGCTACAAGTGCTCCTCTCCTGTGCGTTACTCTCCTGCGGATTTGGTGACCAATACTCACTTGGTTCACTCTATCTTGAGAAGTCTGTTCTCAGTTTACAGGCATATATACACTATGCATGTAACTGCATTGAATGATTATATGCAAATTTATGCTAATCACATGCTAATTAAATAGACTTTGTCATGTGACCAAATTACTAAGTGTACACATGCAGTTCAGAAGTGACTTTATTCATGTGCACATTACATGCATTGCATTGGAAAAGTTTTATTAGGAATGGACCATTAAAAACTCAGGGGTGATGGCTGGATAAACTGTGCAAAATATTATTTGTTCTTCATTTAGTTTTATGTTATTTTTAACTATGATAATTGTGTTCCACTGTGTTGAATATGTTTTTCCTAAGATTTAGATTTGCAGGATTTTTATATATCTTATTTGACCCTTGTTGGTTTTGTTTTTCCATTCTGCCCCCCCCCCCCTCCCATAAAAGCATTGTTTTACATGACTTTGCTTCTAATAGAGCTTTTAAATGATATCAGTGTTTGGCTTGCTCCTATTAGAGATGTACATGTACTAATATAATAACGGTGCACATAATATCAAAATTGTTAGTGAAAAGTATATGTTGACTTGTGTATCATTGGACATTTTGTGTTTTTCTGAAACTACCGTTTATTGAAAATTGGAGAAAAGAAATTGGCACTGTATACTTTTAATACCTGCAACTGGCTTTATGTGATAAAATAGACCAAATGTGCATAACAATGAGTAATACTCTACAGAATCATCACATTGCCGATTTCTCACATTATTTGTTTATTTTTTAGACAGTTCCTCATTATGAAATAACCATGCAGCACTATTGCAATGAAATTTTTCTTAATTTCAGTTGAATTTATTAAACCATAACTGCAAAATTAAGCTTTGTGTACTACAACAATTTTATTTTCCTATCATTGTTCAGTTTTGTGAAAAAAAAAACAATAAAAAATGTATGTGGTGGTTGTTGAGTACATTGAGTGTGAAATTACTACCATATTGACTCTATTAGTAGCCTGACAAGT